TACACTTTGTTTACACTTCATTAATTTCTTTCAAATCCAATTAATCTCATAATGACATTACGTGAGTAATCTTGCCGTAGAATTCTCCAATATCATTATTATAAGGAGAAAATGGTATATTCTCCGAACCTTTCACAAATTTTCATCCAACAAAAAATTCATCATATTGGCAATTTCGGAATAACTCCAATTAAGATTTTCCTAAATAAAATTAAAGTAATTTCCATTGCGACAAAAAAGTTGATCTAAATGCAATCAATGTTCATCAAAAATATAAACCAAAAAAAAAAATGAAATTTTTTTTCTTAAATTAATTAATAAAGGATTAATAGAAAATGGTTGTTTATTTATTTTTTTTTCTTTGACGAGAAATTTTCTTCCTTATGCACACAAATAACATATGATGCATGCTTTAATTCAAGCAAATATCAATCCCTTTTCATTTCATCCTCTCGGTCGTTCACACCAATATAAACATAAACCCAGTTTATTTTTTTTTTTGTTGTATAAACTCAGGTGAGCAAAATATTTACGGAATGAAATGTACGTATAAGGAAACATTATTCCGAAACTAACCGTTCTTCTACAACCTTTTGTAAAAAAGAAAGCTTTATTCTCTCTTAGGAAGAAAATTCATCAAATTCTTGCTGGTTCCTTTCTGTAAGGGACTTTCGACAACTTGAAATCCAAGCTAACGAAAATCATGAAAATCATGAAAAAAAAATTTGATAATGATCGTAAAGGAAATCCCCAAAAAATTCCTGATTTGTGACGAAATAGGAAATTGCGATTCAGGGGTTTTTTTTAGCCATACAGATGAATGTCACCTCACTCAGTAAAAGGATAATAAGAGAATGGAATATTTAGGAGTAAGAAGGTAATATTTATAAATAACACACATCGAAGAAAGATAAGAATGTGGCGCAGCTTCAAAGAGATGTATCGACATTTGAACTTTACTAATTATAATCACTTTGGTGTTTTCCTTATTTGGTATTATCGGATATACAACTTATATGTTTCTTCCAAATTAAATTTTTTTTTTAAGGTTTTTTTTTTTATGGATTGATTGTATACCATAATAAAAATTTTAAATTTAAACTATGATTAGATCACTTTCATGATTACAAATTTGTTTAGAGCAAAGCCCATCCAATAAGGTTCAAATCTTTCTTGTTTGGTTAAAGTTTCATGATTTTTAGACAAATTAAAAAAAAAATAAGATTAGAAAACTCTAAAAACCTGTTGTGAATCTAGGTTAGCTGATCAGCACGATCAAATATGTCATCGAATTAAAAATTGCTGCGGATCAACTATGATAACGCGTCGAAAAAAAAGAAGCTTTGTCCCAAAGCTAACCCGAAAGAATGAATGATCATTATCAAGGTTTCAGATGAGTATTGCGATTGATAGGTGCTTTCGATAATGCAGATGAATTCGCTTCGCTTCCTGTAAGATAATAATCTATTCCCATGAGAATTGAATGAAGCAAGGTAAATTCCGTACGCAACGCCCACACGTGGAACCCGATAAAATGAGTGGTGTGCTATTAAAATTGAGGTACGGATCATATGATTTACTATGTCTCATACCACCCATATGATCATCACGTGGGCAGCCTTTCCCCATTTTTCATTTAGAGATTACGACTTGAATTACACAGGATTTTACTAAAGTAAGCCATCAAACTTCAAAGAAAATAATATCACGTAAGAAAGTAAAAAGTTCCTTTGATACCATGGGTCAATATTTTACAAAGCTTTTTTTTTGTTAAATAAACAATTAAGCATAACAAGCATAATCTCGTCATCAATGTAAACAATTAATTAATACTTTTTTAAACTTTATATTTAATTTTGAAAAAAAATTTATTTTGTGTAAAGAATTCTTTATTTAAAAAGCAATAAGTGGGTGGGGTGGGGTAAACCTGATATTTTTTTTTTGTAACCAAAGACGTGCTTATCCGATGATAAACTCGGAAACAAGTATTTGCCGATTTGTTGTTATGTATATTATGTAACATCATCAACAAATTCAAGAAATTAAACTCGATAGACGGACGTGTCATATGGTTTTTTTTTTTTTTCGACAAAAATTTTTTTTTTTTTTTTTTGTTTGTATAATAAGGTAAATACTGTGGGGTAAATATTTAATTACCGTAATACTTCAAAATAATTTTTTTTGGAGCGGGTAAATATTATCGTAATACGCGATGATGATAAATAATGTAACGTAAATCGTTTTTTCTTTTTTTCGACCAATCCTTTTAACGGCCGAGACTTTTAAAATAATAATAATAATCTGCGAAATACAAGAAAACAAAACAAGAAAATGTAAAAAAAAAAAAGAAAAGAAAATTTTTTTTTTATTCTTGTATAAAATCCTGCCAAAAGTTTGATGGTTATGTAATGGGGGTAACAACATAATTAATTTCACATGAGTTTGGTAATTTCTTGTCTCGAGAAACCCTTCCCGTGACCCTCTCTCATTTTCGTTTAAATTAAGTTTGTGATAATCAAAAAGTTGGACGATTCTTGATTGGCTCATTCGATCATACTTTTGGATAACATCCATTTCCTTATTCTCTTTCCTGTTTTTCAACAACTTTTGCTTTCAACTTCTTGCAGAAAAAAAAAAAAAGAAAAAAAAAACCTCAGCTGATTATAAATGGCTAAAACTTGGATTACCAATCATTTATGCTTTATAATTCCGATTGTAATCACCCGATTATATTAACCTAACTACGATAATGATTAAAAATAAATTTTGTATTTTTTGTAAATAAAAAAAACGTCCCTATTCAAATGCAATAAAGTTAAACTTTTTTTTTTTTTTTTTTGAGATAAGGAATTAAAGATTAATTAATCTTATTAACTCCCTAAAAAAACAATTTAACAAAAAAAAAAAATAAATAAATAAAGGGACAATCATTGATAAAACAATATGAAAAAAAAGAGATGTGTGGCAAAATAAAGTTTTTGGATTTTTGATCCAATTTTTTTTGTTGGGCAAAATAAAAACATAAAAAAAGCAATTGTCAATGATAAAATAAAAAAAAATGTTCGCTGACGAAAACATACATACCATTCATGCACGACTACTATCGAATTCTGATTAAGGTTGGAATTACCCTATATAACGCATATAACGCATGTACGCATGTACGGAAATGCTATTAATATATCCAACTTGTTTGTGCCATCTTTTGTATTACTGGTATGTTTATTTTTCTGGTAAAGCACTTTTAAACGCATTACCGCATAATTGCATAAAAACCGCATAAAATCGCATAACGCATAAAAGAAAAAATTCGAATCGATTTTATGTTTGATGGCGAAGCATCAACCCCAATCGAATCGTTCATTTGTTGCATTTCGGCCGTATTTAGCAAACCTCCGATTTCTCCGATTCATGTGGTTTTCTTCACAGTCATTTTCCAATTATGTCGAAGTGGTGGTTTTTGGTGGTTTAAAAAAATTTCATTATCTGGTTCACAGGAAACCATAAGTTCCAATGTAAAACCTTTTTTTATTTTTTTCTTCACCAAAAGTGTAATATATAAAGAATCTACAATACATGCGCATGCATGTTATTTACATACAAGGAAAATGGAATTAGTAACGATCTACTTGCATTTATTCTTGCATACCCTGTCCTGTTATCTCTCTTCTTTTTTTTTTAAAAAAAAAAAAAAATAAGAAAAAAAGGAGAGAAAAAAGAAAAAGAAAACAACATTCTTTCTAGGTTGATAAACATCCAGAAGTGGGGAAAAAGAATTATGATATCATACTTTTTTGAACGAAATACTGGTTTTTTTGTAACCATGGTCGTGCATGGGATTCGGTTACGCTGAGAAGTGTTCCAAAAAAAATAAATAAATAAATAAAAAAATAAAAAATCGAATTCGTTTCGATTAAAGGCGGGAAAGTATTTTATTTCATTATTTTTTTTTTACACAAAAAAAAAAAAATCGCAATGCACCGCACCAAGAATTCAGAACTTTAGCCACTTTAAATATGACATCAATGGCACGCCACAAGGTAAAACACGAGAAAACGCATGATGATATTATTACACACATATTATGGTTCAAAAACTTCTCGCAAAATTTTATTTTGCAAACTTTTATTTTTACAAGTTGAAAAAATTATATTACAGAAAAAAAAGAACAACTATTTTCTTAGCTAAGGAACAATGATTTACAAATTTTTTTAATTTTTAAATTTTTTTGGATTTTTGTTTTTTTCCCCCGCTCCACCATTCCTCCTCCTTTTCATTTCATTCTCTCTCGCTAGCCATCATTACATCTCCACCAGATCTGACTTAAAATTACGATTTCGAAAAATGTTTCTTTGATTTGGGTTTTACGCCAAAGATAAAAAATAAACGGAAGGCTTAATTTAAACGGGGTTAAACTACTACTACAACTTGTGCAGAATTTTTTTTTTTTTTTAAAGTATTATTTTGGCGCACAACTAATGTACCATAAAAAAATAAAGACGTCGGCCAATGATCATTTTTGGGAAACCAAAAAAAAGGGGTACGTGCGAAAAGGTTAAGTTGAAGTTGGGATTATGTGTTGAATTTGAATTGTTTGATTGGAAAATGTTCGTGAATAATAATATCCATTTAACTAACTAAAGAAATGAAATCGATGGAAAGAAGAGATTAAAAAAATCGATAGATATACTGTATATACAAAAGTTTTTGGCTTGCTCCTTTTTGTTTTTATTGAAATTTTTGTGTTTTTTTGTTTTTTTTTTTGTTTTGAGAGAATAAAGTCAAGACGAATAAAAATTAAAAATAGGAAATTTTTTTTTGATTTTTTTTTGATTTTTGAACGAACCCACCAACTGAAAATAAAAGAAACGATAAAGAATAATTAAAAAAATGGTTTAAATGTTCATTTGTTAGTTCCAATTTCGTTATCAATCATGAATGTTATGAAAACAAGCTATTCTAACCAAAAAAAAACAAACACATATTTAATTGATTTTTGCTCAAGATGTTAGAGATTTCTTGTGAAAGCTAATATATGTTCGTGGTTGAGAAACATAAAAGACCTCCTCATCATCCTCCTCTTCAATTTCTCGTGGATCCCAATCATCAGCGCTGCTGCTGCTGCTGCTTGAACTGACAATGCTGCTGCCATCATCGTTTACTTCAGCTCCAGCGAAACGAACCAATTTTACTGCGGATGAGCCCCTTCGAAGGCGAGGACTCGAATGAACTGACGGTGTGGAATTCATTGATTTCGATGAACCATAACCGTACATCATATCTTCTGTGGAATATTCATTGAAATCCAGAGATGATGTTGAGGAGCACGAAGAAGACAGCGAAGAAGACCTCGGATAATAGCCATAAGAAGGGGTGGTTGTTGAAGTGGGAAGATAAGTGTCAAATGACTGAGGTTTACGTAAATGTTTATGTTGAAAACGATGATTCTTTCTGTTTTTTTGTTGAATCGGCAGATACAATGAACCTGTTGTAGGAGAAGTTGCAGCCATAGAAGCCGTTGCCATGGCGGGTGTGATTGTGGTTGTATTATCAAACGTGGTTTTTATTAAAAACACGGGTCTAGCAAAGGAAGTAACAGTCTTGGTTGTTGTGGTTGTGCTCATTATTATATTGGTTGAAATAAACGATTATTTGCTTGGAAAATTTAAAAAGGGTAAATATATATATGTAAAAATTATTATTAAATAAAAAACTTATATTTCTTCACAGATATTCAAAAAAAAATTTAATGTTTTGGCTTTCGCGTATTTAAAACGACGAAGAAGAGATAAATAATATTCGTTTGTGAGGAATGATGATGATGGATGATAATAACGTATTGATGATGATTTTTTTTTTTTTGAAGAAAAAAATTTTTTTATGGTGGAAGAAAGGAACGGAAGCTCCTATTTATTTAATTCACTCATTCAAAATTTCCAATTGAAATGTATAAATTAAAACTAATATATATTGTCAATTATTATTTTTTTTTTTATTTCAATTAATACAAATTGTGGCGTTAAAAATACAACTATTAGTCAAAATCTTCCTCCCGCATAACATAAATAATTTAAAATAATTTCTGATATTTCTTTTTTTTTTTTTTCATATATACAGTAAAGCACATAAATAATTTTTTGATTGATATCCATATATTAGAAATGGCTTTTTTACTTCAAAAAAAAAAAAAGATTTTTATTCACTGTATATAATAAATAAAAAAAGAAAAAAAGGAGGCTTTCTTTTTTAGTTTTTAACCCCCTTTCAAAGTTACTTTTATTATTTTTATTATCTTTATTATTATTATTGTTATTGTTTTTGAAAAGAACTTTTTACAACACATCACATCTAATTCAAAGGAATGTGACAACGAACATTTTTTCTAATATCACCTTGCATCACCGTCACATCATACATCTACATCCCATCATATCACATATCACAATCACATGTCATCATTGCGATGTCACTCAACCTATGCCCGTAGATAATAGTGGGGGAAGTCTGAACTAAAATAGGTCCTGATAAGCTAAGCACAACGGATCCGCACAATTTGGAATGAAAATATGTCGGTGATTAAAGGAACTTGGATTATTGGTCGGAAATCAAGCCGTTCCTTCAAACACCAATGATGAATTTACGTTTCTCGTTTATGTTCAGGATTTTATTAGGAACAATTCATCCAAGCTTGCATTGATTCCTATTTGGAGAAAGAAAAAAAAAGAACAATATGAAGCAAGTTGTATGGTTTTTTCGAGTCATGGGTTCAAGGCCATTGGCTATTACAAATTTCAAACTTTTTTTACCTTTTCCCTTTAGTCATTTGTCCGGCGCAATCCAAAGTAATACTTGTGGCTAAATTCCAAAGCTTTTTTTTAACAGGATTGTTTATTGGAAATTTCCAGAAAATAGGGTTTGAAAATTTTATATTTCTGTTACAAAAATGGAATAAACAATAGATAGAAATACGTCATTAATAGGAGCTTGTGATACGATTTGTATCGACCAAGTTACATAGTTACCAACTATAGGGATCAATGTATTTTAAGTTTAACTAATATTGCGTCAATTTTTTTAGCGGAATACTAGCCGTGGACGAGATAAATGCACAATGTAAATCCCTGGTCTGCGTGGTTGGGGTTTTTTCGTTGTTGTCGAAATTTAAAAGGTTTAGTTGGGTGAATTTGAGAGGGAGATAAACGATTGCTGTTGTTCTATTGTTGTTCCAAATCTCTAAAAAAAAAAAAAAAAATTTAATTTTTTTTTTTTCATGCATTGCATTGAAAATAGGTTACAAACGTTAAATTATGTTTTTTTTTTCAGGTAAGCCAAAAAGCATGATGTTATCATCGATATTTTACAATTGAAAACAATCTGGTTTGAGCATTCATTTGTTCCCATTTTTTGTACAAATTTAGCATGTTGGTTGCAGATGAACCACCTTCTTATTCGTTAAAAATAATTGAATTTTTTGAACATCAAAAAAATTTCATTATTCTATCCTTTCGATGCGATAAATGATTTTTTTCAGATAAGTGAATCTTTTTGGTCTCGAATAACAAACGTTTAGAGTTTAGCGTTATTACAAATTTAAAATGAAAAAATTAAGGGGGTGAGAAATCATTGAGGACCATATATGACGAATATTTAAACCATTGTCTTACATTGATTGCTGTTGTGTATTATGTGGGTTTTTGATCCAAGGATTAGGAAAAAATAAAAGATAAAGTTCCATCTATAAATCTATAAAAACAAAGGCTCCAATATTGAATGGTTCTTGACAGAGTGCGAGTCCACCGTCTCCTCTCTCATATCGATAAGAACGTTCATTTATTTGGTATAATGCTGAAACAATGAATGCATGGGATGAATTCTTTTTGTATGAGGGATTTTAAAAGGCACGAATGAAAAAGTTCAAATGACGACTTACAGTCAAAATGGTACCGAATCTCTTTGAATCTTCATTTTAATCTATAATAGCTTATTTTTTTCGCGTAATACTTACTTAAAACGACCGATAAAATAATTTTCCTACTGGTTAAAATGGATTAGCCAGCCATTGTAAATTTCACGTTTAGGGCGTTCGGTTACAAATTGGAAAGATTTGGGGTTTTTTACATAACCAAATTGTAACACACACTTTAAAAAAAAAAATAAGGTACGTAATTTGAACAATTAAATCTATTATTCCTCTTAATATACAATTATATGCACCTAATTAACATTGCATATTTTGTTGCACGTATTTTCAATTTCCTTTTTTCCCCCTTTTTTTTCGATTGAGGCTCCAACTTGGCTGCACGGAGGTCATCATGGAAGAAATTTACTTGAAAGAAATGTCTCGTGGAAGGAAAAACATGCCAAGCCATGTGGAGCAGAATCATTTTCTCATTCTTTATTTTTTTTAATATATTTTTTTTTTGCTGGATTTCATTTGTGTATTGTCCAAGGATCGTCAGGTTTATTATTTAACCTTTTTCTTCGTCTTTCCGTATCGTGAGCAATGCTATTATAGACCATGTGAATTAACACAATTGGATTTAAACTTCTTGGAGACCTTAATTGAAAAGTTTTCCAACGAGCAACCTGTCAAAAATTCATTGGTCGAAATCCATTTTGATAAACAGCTACAACTTTGTGCCGCGATCGGAAATCATCACCTCGCTTGTTTTATTATGTGATCACCACGTTAAAGGTAAATAAATTTATTTTACAATAAACAAAAAAAATATACAACGCTTAGACTTTTTTTTCCTTGAGTATAATAGTGTTCAAACGTTAATTGATGTAAACAAGTTTGTTTTATTGTGAAGTACAAGTTCATATCGGATAACGTCCTTTACATAGATAAATTGAAAATGGAGTTACATCAAAACCAAATAAATAAATATATGAAAAAGGTGTATGTATATATTTTATACATATTTTCAAGTAATTGTTATGAATTCTTATATTATGTAAGGGTCTTTGTTTGATAGATTTTTTTTCCTATTAAAGGAGGCTTATCTTATTATGGACAACATGGAAATTTTTTTTTTATTTTACGTTTTTACACCTTCGTGTACATTGGAAAAAAAATCTTGTTCAGTCAGTTTACGAGATATGGAGATAATTAGATAATCTTCAGAGTTTCTTTTCTTACCTAACCCACGCTAATCGCAGACAATACCTGAACAAAATCGTTCAAACTTGAAAAAAATTTTTTTTGTAAATAGCAACATTGATAGTAAATGAGACAAAGAAAATCATAACAATGATAAGCAATGATTAGTCTGATAAAAAAAAAAAAAAATAGATTGGGGAAGAAAAAAAAAAAAAAAAAAAGTATTCCCCATTATTATTTTTTTTCATTTTTTAAAAATCAGGTGTGATATTTTAATAATACACATTGCAAATGAAATATATGCATGAAAGGTATAATCAATTAATTAATTAATTAATTAATTAATTAATTATTGAATAGGATTGCATGAATGTGAGTAAACGAAAAGGCGATTTTTGAAACCCTTAAAAAAGTTTCATTTTCAAAAGTAAGTTATTTTAATACTCTAAAAAAAATTAAAATATATAATTTTTTTTGGTGATCATTATCCTTCTTGTCTCATGTACTTTAAGTAATCTCCCATCCATCACTCTCACATTTCAAAATCTCAAAAATCACCAATAGTATCATCACATTAACTTTTATCATCACAACAAATCTGCTAAATCTCAGTAAAAAACCACATGGCACACACAAAGAATCACATCCCATCCAAATAATGTTAGCTAATCCAAAGGGTCAATCATTCACAAAATGGTAAGAACGTTATCATATTCTAACCAAATGAGTTAATAAATTTTACGCCAAATCAACCATAAAATTTCTCGACTAAAAGATTAACGAAAATCCGCCATGATTGGTTAGAGAAATTACATCATGGAAAATTTGGAACTAATCCCGATTAAAATCGATCTAAATGATTTTTAGAAATACCTTGTAATTGTAGGAATGGTTTTTTTTTTGGAGAATGAAACCTAATCTATCGTTGGTCTTGTGGTTTTTAAAATTTTTAGTATTAAAACCGACTGTGAGGGACATTTTAATGGGATGGGGAATCGTTACCATATTCTTACCAAACTTGTGAAAATATAAAAATAACAATAAAAACAAAGCCCGTAAATCTTTTTAAAATTAAAAAAGATTTCCGGTTGGTTAAAAATACATGTGTTATTTTAAAGTAAGAAGTGTGAAAATTTTTTTTTTATTTGATTTTCATTTTGTCAAGCAATAATGGAAGATGGAATTATCCAAAAGACAAAATGAATCCCAAACGTGAGGGGAGATGATGGAAATCTTATTTAGCATGTGAAAAAAATTTTGGTGATTCTACTGGGATGTAGATCGATTCGTTTCATCATAATTTATTTTGTATCACCTCACATGATTTCATTCATTGGGCTTGATTCCAAAGAGAGGAATGCGCCAAATGGCCGTTTTATTTATTGCTACCCACCGATGACACGTAGCATTATAACGTCAACGAATATTCATGTTTTTGTGAAGCCGGTAAAAGAATTATCCTGAATGAATTTAAACAAGTTTGGTAAAAGAAAACCTCTTAAAAGTTTTTTATTAAATCCAAGGGGGTTTTTTTCCCTTTGTCCTCCTCTCTTAATGAAGTGAACAAAACTTTTTGTTCGGAAACGTCACAATATATCAATCATCACATAAGCTAGGTCGTAAGGATCTAGAGATCTAACGTCAAACGTTTTATTAACGATTATTCCGGAAGAGAATGACATTTCTTGAAGCTCTGCTCTTTCACGGGGATCCCCACCGTGGAGATATGGATCGCTCGCTGCGGCGACAAAGTCACGAGTCGACATTAATTGCGGAGGTATACATAATTATTTATTTGTTTATTTTACATATAAATAAAATCATATAATTTCTAAAAATAATTTTTAATCCCGGTCTAACCGGTTTCAATGTGCATCCCATCATTGTTTTTCATGGGTAATTTCCAAATATTTAGATTGATTCTTTTATGGAACCCCAAGCAGTAAAATGGCAAAAAAAAAAAAAAAATTCCCGAGAGTGTATAATATAAATGAGTTTAATTAAGTTTAAATTCATGTATTTCAAATGAGAATCACAATAAAGAATGAATTAAGGTTTGACGAAATTATCAGGCATTATCTCTCGCAAATCCCTTTTAACATTCCATTATAGATATGTGAGTTGTAGTGAATGGCGTAAATTTGGGTCTTCAAACGTGCTAATTGAGAGTGCGTTTCGGTTAATCCGATCGATAACAACGTACCACAGCGTGGAACGTTATTAAAAGGAAACTTCCAATTCAAACTCGAATTGATGCTGCGGATTCTACCTTAACCAAATTTGACAGGGATGAATGTCATTTGCATTATCCGACAGATTTACATGTAAACCCGGACATTTTGCATAAAGGCGAGGCGCAGCAATCCAACCGAGACGCGAAATAATTCAAAATCAGAAAAGCACGGGCGTTAATTAATCCGACATGGTTACACCTTTAAAAAAAATTATGGTTATGGTGTGTGACATCTCTAACCCCGATCACCTTTCGGTTTATCACCTATAATTCACATCAAAAGTGATGTTTTGGGTGGAACGTATCACTCGGGGATAAGTGTTGTTTCACAATTCTACAAAAGCACATCGACTTATGCAACTTTAAAAATGATAATCTTCACATTTGGACTGTTCCGCAGTTTTTGGTGACTTTTGACAAAGAAATTCTGTTTGAAAAAAAAGTTGACTCGATAAAAAAAAAAGGAGAGAGGAAGTGAGAGAAAAAAATTACCCAGCAATCATATAATTATTTTTGCGACATGATAAAAACAGAAACCTGTGTAAGGAATCCCCCAATTGGTTTGGATACAAAGAACAGAACATGTGCATATATGAATTTGAATACAAAGAAACGAACACAAATTAATTCAAATTTGGACATATGTTTTCAGTAATTAGATTATTATTATTATTGTTGTTGTTGTTGTTTAACAAATAATTATTATAAGAATATCAAACAGGTTTTTCTTGCTCATTGGTACCATATAAATTTTTCATTAAAAAAAAAAAAAAAATCTTTTCTCTTCTTGATAGAGATGTCGTAATTGGTAAATGTTTAATACTTTTGACAAAATACATGTTATGCCCCCTAGGTTCTGTCAAGTTCTTTTACCTGAATCCAAAGAAATCTGAAAAAAAAAAATATAATAATCTAGATATTTTGAGAATTTTGTGAAACATCTCCGAAAGAAATACTGGATGCATACCTGAACCAAATAACGCAAACGTGTCCCAATTCAAAGCAATGACGGAAATCTAATTTCGATGCATTCGATGAGTTCGATTCGAAAAAAAAAAAAATTCCTACTTTAAAACTTGGCAAGTTTTTTTTTTCCTTGGTCAATATTGTGATGCTATCACATGGTTGTACATGCTCCATGGACCATGGTCATGTTCCTTCTAAACCTATTCTCCCCATTCCCTACAACGTTAATTATTTGTTTTTTTTTTTTTATATACAAATATATAAATAATATATTAAATCGAAAATAAGAACATAACCTTATTTGGTTTAAATCAAAAGATTTGCATTCAAAAAACCTTTAAGGCCAAAACTTTAATTCTTTTTGTGCTACGTGATTCAAAATCCAATACACATATTCGGCAATTCTTTTACACGCATATTACTGCGTCATAGATATTAAAGTTTAAAATTGATAACGACGAAATAAAATAAAAAATAAAATAAGAGGGATTATAGGCTTTTTAATTAGTAAATTCGATAATGAATATTTCACGGAATCACTTAAAATACCATTTCATGTCTTATTTGATGGTGATGGTACAAAATAGAACAAGAACCACAAAATTTTATTTTGGGGTGAATCTTGATCGGACTCTTAATTGCGATCATGCCGTGCTTTATGATTTTTAGATACGCGCACCATTTTCGTTATGCGAAACGGTTGAAATCAGTTTCCAAGAATTATGTTTTACGAAAAGATACTTCATCAAGATTGTATTAATAAAAAGATGCTGATTCTTACAATAAGACAGGTTTCATGTGAGAATTCAATTCTACTTCTATCCTTTCTCGATTTTTCATATATGAGAATGACAGTGGGTTGTCATCAAAGCGTTGATGCACAAACAGATATGCAACATACATGAGATAAGAAAGTTTCCTAATTTAGTGGAATTTTGTAGAGAATAACATTCAAATTTGCTGCGAAAGCAAAAAGATCCGTATCTTGATTTCATTACTTTTATCCGCTCATCCGTAAAAAAAAAAAAGAAAAAGATCTCATTGAAATGTACATTCGCCCGTGCCCGTCGCTTTTTTTGAACCTGTCACGATAAAACTCGATAAACTGCGGTAAATGGTTCTTCTTAATCACTCGTACTGTTGCACTAAGGAGTAATATAAACGGAGTACGAGTTGGATATGCAAGTATGTAAGCACATGCACATATTTTTAATTCTTGCCATTTAACTATTTGGATTCGGCTTAGTGTCAACAATTATTTACAAAAAAAAAAAAAAAAAAAAAAAAGAAAAAAATTTTAATCCTATAAGAATGAATTGTGTCCGATTGATTTTTTTGATTTTATCAATCTATGAACTTTTATGAAGGGTAGAAATATGTAGAAATATTAAATTGATAACGCGAAATATCGCAAAAGATACGAGATAAATTACGAAGTTTTGTATTTTTTTTTTCTCTCTTTCATTATTCATTATCAAATTTGTCATCAAATATTTACGTGTTGTCATTTTTTTCCTCGTACAACAAACTTGTAGAAAGGTTTATTAGGAAAAGATATAAAGAAAAATCAAGTTTACAAACTTGGATTTTAAAAACATGGTTGTACACGTGTATCATGTTTTGCGCGCAGTAAATGTTAATCTGTTACAATGACAGTACTCAGCAAATTAGATACCTACAGAAAATTAAATGTAACCCAACAGACGCCGAATACTTGAAAGGCATCATTTAAAAGGGATTTGCTATTCCATTTATGGTAAGCGAAATCTGAAACAAAAATATTTTATACATTTTTCCAAGATTTTAGGTAATTTTTTTTTTTTTTTTGATTTAGAAAAAAAAAAAAGAAAAATAATGACCGGAATATGTGTGTTATGCGGTTATTATGGTAGATTATTTCCTATAAAATTCTTGGTGAATTTTTTAAATGTAAATAAATTTTTTCAATTTTTCAACAAATAATATTTTTAATGGTGATGAGAGAAAAAAATATTAAATTGATGTGACAACAAATTTATCTTTTCTAAAAAAAATATACGGTTATGATGATGAATTCAAAGCATATTCATATGATGCCACCATCTTTCAAAAACTTTCCCGAAATGTCAAAAAAATGCTTGTTATTATTTATTTACCTTCAAAGGAAAAGACATGTTTAAGAGGCTTTAACTAGTTTATCGCAATTATTACACAGAATCTAAAGGTTTCATATATTTTTTTTCTTAAAACAAATTGTAGGAAATGTTTCAAAGAGACTTGATTTATTTTGATTTCCACATCAAAAACGTGTGGATTAAAATGACTAGATCAAGTTGTTCGAAATCATCACATTGCGCTGTTACTTAACACAATCAATAATCACCAATATACGCACAATACATGTTTCATCAAGGTTTAATTCATTTCACCCGCGCAAAATCCGTATTACATTCTCGCACAGATGCTTTCTTTACTAGCAATTTTTATTGATCCGGATAAATGTGGTTTGTTCAAAGTTAAATTAAACCATAATTTTCAAACTTTGTCAAATTGATAAAAACCACATGGGATGAATATTCATCATTGATGCGTCATTCTAAATGAATGATAGAATTAAACATATCGTAATAATACTTCGCACGCGTCTTTTAATTTCCTATTTTTACGACCACAGAGCATTCGATCTCGTTGGGGATACTACATTCTACTTGCATAAGATGTATTTATTTATTCAAATCAAATGTTATTTTTATCATATACATTTACAGGTTGTTTATCCTGTTGATTCTCACCCCATATTCTTGATCTTCAAATTTTTTTACTCCTTTAATGTTTTTCTTTTTTTGTGTGCAGATACGAATTACATAAAATTCTTTGTTCAGTGTATGTATAAGATACAGCAATTTGGTGATAACTAAAATGATAATTAGACGCAGTGTGATTGTGTGATTTTTCTGAATTTGTGTGATATTATCAGATGATAGCTTAAAAATTAAAAAGTAACAAGTATAATCGGTTTATGTTACGTGATAATAGGACCTTCGGATTAAATTAAGAAAAATTTGTTAATCTATAATTTAAAAATTCATGAGCACCAATTAAACTAATGGAGCTTCTATAACATAACAAAGGATTATTACTAATTGTTCTTGTGAGTAACATGAGTTCCCGTTCAGGTTCTAGAAACTACACGTGAAGTTGAGATCCAAATTTACAAGAACCTTGTCAATGTCGAGCGAGAAAGTTGCCAAAGGTTGATAACATGGTTCCTAATCCAAATATCAAGTGAGCAAAACTCCTTTTAAAGAACCCATTTACGGAACGTTTTCTTTCATAAACAATGTAATCTCTCGGTTTACCAAACCTTTTGTTTCAGGTCAACTATAAATGTACGATTATTTCGATATAACTAACGTTCCTAGAATCGCGTTTTACTTTTAGGAAAAACCGCGTGATCATTACAAGTTTTTTTTTTCCAACATTAATAAAATACTGTATATACAATTTTTTTTGAAAGAACTGTGAATGTGCTTGGAATTCGTCCACGTGTGTCAAGTAGTTGATAAAAATTTTTGTTTAAGCCACATACAGTTATTTTTAAAAATTATTTCATGTGTTTATTTTCTTTGATATATGGTTCAACAATTATTAAAAAGATGCAAAGGTGTGGAATGATCCTAAAAAAAAAAAAGTTTCTCAAGGGTTGGCGCATTCTTTAATATAAATCCAAAACCTTAATTAAATAACTGACTTTAGTTGCATTATTTTAAATTGGATACGCGGAATTTTCTTTTGATATTTATTGGAAATTTATATTTATTGTCAATAATAATTAAAAATATTATGAATTCAGGAGTTGTTTGTCTTGGTTGGTTAGCAGAATTGTAAATTAAATTATTTTAAATTATTTTGGAATGATTTTTATTGGTGAGAAACCCTTTTTTGAAATTTAGAAATAAAGTTAAACCTGTACGTGAACCTATTACAATCTTCATCCTCCAATTACTACAAATAATTTCTTAAATTATTGCATGCAACTTTCTGTTCCAAACAAAAAGACCAAATAACTGCTGAAATTGGAAATATTGTAAGGTTTAGAAAAATATCAAGTAACCAACCAAAATTTCTTTAATAAATGATATATATTTGTATATTTATCTATTTTTTATAATATACTTAAACATGAGGTATTATTTTTGATTCTGTATTTCTTTAGAACTAACATGGAACATTTTATTTATTTATTTTCATAACATATTATTATCATTTATGTTATTATCATCACATATGGTTCATTGTAGACGAAAATGGTAAAGAGAGGTAAATTTGGCAATTTCAGGTAATATTCTAATATTTCATGAAATATTCATCTATCTCTCGAGGTTCTTCCTTCAACTGCAATACCATCCATCGTTTTTCAAGTACCGTTTAGAAAAAAACTTATTTTTTTCTATAACTGTTACTCCCTCAATGTTATTTAAATATTTCGGCCGTCCGATTCTTTACACCGAGTTTTGCGAGATCGTTTAGCAATTTAATCAATTGGTAATAAAAAAATTGATGGATTGTATTGTGACAGAACAACATTATAATTACATATTTTTTTAAAATAATTTATTTTTGATATCATATAAGAAAAAATAAAAATAATAAAGATGGGGTAATAAATAAATATTGCCTTCACATTATGTTTTCATATTATATATCATCGTATGATTCAATTCCATCCTGATTCTGTCCTGTAAATTATTTATTTAATAATCATAACAATAATATTAATATTATAATTATTTACTGTTTTACAATATAGAAGCGCTTTGTAAAAGGGTGGGAAAACAATTTGTTATATAATTTTTAAAGGTAAATGTATTTCAGATTTTAAGAGTTTAGGCATTCCTATCACAAAGTGCCCATTTATCTTGAAAAAAATAAAAAAAAAATTTCACGACATAGATCGGAAAAATGACCTGAATCCTCTCATTGTTGCTCCTTAAGTTCCATAAGTTGTTTTTCCAACTTTGCTTGTTGTGCCATAATTTCTTGCATCTAATACGATAAAAAGAATGTGTCATCATCTTAATATTACAGAAAAAAATCGTGTTTTATATATTAAATCAAAGCAAATCTTACTTTTTCTTTAGAAATTCATAAGCTCGAATGTTCAATAGATAGTTTAATCCATGGTCTGCTTCATCGGTTTCGTTACCTTCCGGAAATCTTGCAAAGCCATTGTTCTTCAACATATTAATGGCTGAAGCCATCGGAAGGCCTTCATAATGAAGCTTCTTTTGGATTTCAAAGCCATGAACCTGATCTTGTTCTTGACCTTTGTAATTTCTACTTCAAGAGTTTTTATCATTTTGAGGAGCTTTAAAGTTTAAAAATTAAGATATTATAAATTTATCAAAATAAAATTCTGAAAAAAAACCAAGGTGATTCTATTTTAAAAATTGAAAGGTAACTAACATTATTGCCTCCAGAACTTTGTAACTTTCATAACAATAAAACTTCAACACAAAAAGAAATTGCAATTAACTGACTCTGAATTTGCAGACTGTGTGATTGAGATTTGCATATCGATATGAACTTTTTTAAATTGATGCACGTCTGTTATCTGTGCGATCACTTGATCATCTGTTCCATTGTGGCGTAATACGCATTATCTTTAAAAAAAAAAAAAAAAGGAAAGAAAAAAATTGCTTTTTATATTACTCTAATAATTCCGGCCGAAAATATAAAAATTCTCACACCATTTTTCGTAAAAAGTCTCAAAAGTTCAAAAAAAAAAAATTTCATATTGAAAGACAACATATTCGTCAAAATAATTCATCTTACAAAATTATTTTCTCGGTATTAAGTTCATCAAAGTTGAACGGAAAACAGAAAATTCAGTGAGTTTCAACAAATGATAAATCTAGGGTGAAATTGATATTACATTGATTATCCAAATTATTCAAGATTTTTAATTAGATTTTAATAGTCTAGCATATGCATATATATGTTGAATCACAGTTTTTTTCCGAGTGAAAACTCCATAATATCACCTCGGTAAAGAATATTGTTTTCATCATCTAATTTCGTAATACCAGATATTCTATTACAAATTTATCTGATAAAAAAATTATCAAAAAAAAAACTCCTTTTGACAAGCTTCTTTAATCTTTATTAAGTAGAAATTTTATGTCTTTTCCACGAGTTGATCAACGATACCACCTTTGATTCAAAGAATCAAATATATGTATATGTAGCATTAATAACATAAATTAATTGTTACGAATAATACATGTACTCCTAATAATCATTATTCAATCAAAATTAACCATCCAATTGATTTTTGATTTTTGATATGGTTCTTTTTAATGTTCGTTTTTTGTTGTTGATCTGCCTTTAAAGCACATATGCTGTTAACTCTTCTATTGTTTTGTTGTTGAATAAATGAAAAACATCTAGATTTTTCGAATAATAATGCAAGATCAATTTCCCATCGTTCATAAACAGTACGACTGGATTATAATTTGAAGATATTAACATTTATTTTTCCATTTTTATAATGGAAATTTGCTTGTCAAGATAGGGTCTCGAACCTGATATTAACAAAAAATAAAATAATCATTACAACTTAAAGATGTTGACTACAACGTTACCAAGACTTCACCCACTATTTATATAATTCTAGTACATAGAAAACCTCTCTGAGAATAGAAAAATGTATGAGATATATGAAATACATACTTGTAAGACGCGCTTGAAGTTATTATAAACATTTAATAAAATTTATCTGTAAACAAGGCCTTGCATTCAGAATTTTAAACCTCTTTTTAAGGTTCAATGGAATCACGACTCTCGATAAGAGTTTCAAATTGAATATTCTTTTGATATACCTCAATATTTTCTTTTTGAGTCTTTATCAGCTGATTAAATACGAGATTCATTATTATTTCAGAAATTTTGTCACGTGAGCATAAATTGAAGTAAATTCGCGTGAGGTCATTCACGTGTTTCATCAGTAAATTAAAACTCTCCGTGACTTTTTTTGATGAAGACCTATTTGCCCGACACTTTACATCTCTCATAGTTGTTAAAAGACAGGTCGTTATCTCACTGAATCACAAAGCTGTTCTCCGCAGACAACATCTATTTAAAGACAAGGAATAAAGCAGAATGGAGAAAAGTTATGCCATCAAAGGTTTTTAACAATGAAAGGAGTTAAACCATAGAAGAAAGGACATTGATAATCATGTTTAGGAGAACACTGAGTTAGACAGTTCAGTGAATTTTTATTGATGATGATAATTTCAATTCGGATTTTTCGATTTTGCGTAATTCCATCATTCCATCATGGGATTTTACTTTTCATACGAATGTTGATCCATGTAGAGCAAAAAGGTACTCTTTTAAAAATATTATTAAGCGATCAAAAAATGATTAATAAATTACATTATGATGTGACCAACCATTCAATCACATCATTCCAAATTTCAAAATAAAGCAGATGACCTTTTTCTTCAACAAAACTAGATTCACAACCAGGAATTTGTTCAGCAATATATTTACCCATAGATACCGTTGTGCCACTATCTTCTTCGCCATGCCAAATTTTACATTTTACACCACCACAAATTTCATTCAGTTGAAACCCCCAATCTTTTCCCCATAAAGAATATTCATAACATTCAGTTTCAATTTGACCTCTAGAATACATTTCTAATGAACTTTCAATAAACATTTCTTCTACACCTTCAACACTTTCAACACATTTTAAATCTGATAGAGGTCCAGTGCTAAGACCTATTCTATTTGCTTTAACTGGATCTTTTATAGCAGTATTTGATTCCATTCTTGCTATCGCTGATAATAATCCAACTCCATTCTTTGTTAACCACCAAGCAAATTTTAATTTCCAAGGCATGTGAATAGTCAGACTAGGTGCATTATAAGGTGCAATTGAACTAATAATAGCCGCTTTTGTAATTAAAGGTTTATTAGAATTGGAAGAAGGTTTTCCTATTGCATAAGCGGCGGCAAGACCGTATGGACCACCAGCAGAGTATGCAATTAAAGAGCAATTCGTAATTTGTTTTTGATCACAGAATTCACTTATATCTTGAGAAAAATCCAAAAATGATCTCTTAATAAAAGTAGATAAACCAATGCCTGGTCTCTCTAATACATATAATTTTATATTTAAGGTGTTATTATCAGATAATGAATCATCATTATGGGAAGAGAAATTATTCGGATTCTTTGGTAAAGAAGCGAGGACTTGTGGGTGACAAAAGAATCTTGAGCTGGGCAAACCAGGAATTAACAAAATTACATGTTCTTTATTGAAATCATTTGCAATTGGATGTGAAGTTATATGTTGAAATTTATATTCTTTAAATCCTAATAATCGACCATCTTTGAGTGTTATAGTTTCTCCTTCGGATTTCGGAAAATTTGAAATATTTAAATGAGGATATTCCGGTAATTCAGGTTGTTTAGAATTAAATACCCCCATACTAAGGAGAAAATTTTGGAAAAGGGGGAATCATGATTCGAAACAATTTAAATTCATAGATTTGTTTTGGGTTGTTCGTGTAACGAGCATCCCATAGATTAGATGAACATCATTTGTTTTCACGTGTTCATGTACAAATAATAAAATTGAAATTAAATTGTCATTATCAACTTTTTTCTTGTTATAAAACATGACGACGCGTCAAGAAATCTTTCTTCCTTCAATACATGATGGTATTCAATTAGAAGCGAGAATATCTTATCGTAAAATCAAAGATGTATCAGAACAAGGAGTTAAAGCTGTTATAATATCACATCCTTATGGTCCATTAGGTTCGTTTTTTAATTAACATTGATTTCCTCATTTCTTTTTATTAATATTTTTTTTAATGTTGAATAGGTGGTAATAATAATAATAATGTAGTTATGACGGTTGAGGATTTCTTTTCGCATAAAGGTTATTTGACTGTTGCGTTCAATTTTAGAGGAAGTGGAATGTCTAAAGGAAGAACAAGTTGGTCAGGGGAACCTGAATGTGATGATTTCAGAACGATATTAAAGTTCTTGGCAAACCCCGTTCAAATAAATGACGTGGAAATTCCAAAGATATCCCACATCATAATCATTGTAAGTCAACAAATATAAATTTATATTCGGTATTCTTTCTTCAATTTTAAATGTTCTCTTTCCACACGATATATAGGGATATAGTTATGGATCTTTAATAGCTTCATCGTTAGCATCATCTCAAACTCAATATACATTCACAATATCCTATATTCTAATATCTTTACCATTATCTGTAATGTGGTTCCTAACGTTCTTTCATTCATCAGTTTATTCAGCACATTTAAACAATTTACTTTCGTCCGTATCTACAAAAGTATTATTTATATTTGGGGATAGTGATCAATTTACAAAGGCGAGCAAATATAAACATTGGATCAAGGATAATAATGTATTGGAAAATGAAAGGTGGACCGTTGCGGAATTGAAAAATGTGGATCATTTTTTTGTTTATCAACAGATGGAAGTTGCTTTAATTGACGTTATTAAGAAATGGGTTGATGAAAATCATAAATAAATTTCAAGGACGAGTGGAATTGGATTAATAATTACATATTAATTTTTTAAATTTTATTTATTTTAGTAAAATGAATCAATATTTTAAAATTACGTGGAATTTTTTTAGATAATGTTATTTTAAACAATTATTATAATTTGAACTTAAATTTTGTTTATTTTAAAACTATTAGTATTTTAATAGAAAAGGCGTTATTTGAAGGAAATGATTTTATTATTATATTTTTATTTTTTATTTTTTATTTTTTTTTAAAAAAATTATTGTTAATAAATTATTTTTTAATATAATTAAGAAATTCTCAATTAAATTCCATTAAAGAATTTAATAAAGTTTTTAACTTGATTTAACAAGTCAAATTAAGTTGATTTATAAACAATAATTTATTAAAAAAAAATAGAATTTAATAAAGATATATAAAAAATTAATAATATATATACATACTAGTCAAAATTATCCAATTTGTCAATTCTTAAAGTGTTAAATATTAGCCAAAATTTGGTCTAATTTCTGCTGATCATTACCAAAAAAAGCACCATATTGGTTATAGTTAAAATTGTTACCATTCAATAAAAAATCATATTAAATGATTGATAGTTATTTAACTAAATGGAAAATCGGTTATCTATCAGTATTTAACATTAAAATCAAGCCTAAATTGCCTTAAAATTGCTTAAAATCAGCTTAAAAATAGCCTTTATTGTTATTATTACATAATAAAATTAATCAAAAAAAAATACATAACAATATTTTTTTATTTAAAAATAAGATGAATAAAGAAAACAGTTAGAATACCAAAAAATTCATCTCCAATTTACTTATCCTAAAAAAAAATAAAGAAATAAAGAAAATTGTTAAAATATTAAAAAATCATCTTATTTAAATTTTTTAAAAAAAAACTTTTCTAAAAAAATTAAAGAAAAAAAGGTAAAAACTATCTAAAAATCACTTTTAACTTACCTTAATTTCAAAATAAGAACTTTTCTAAAAAAAGAAAAAAAAATAGTAAATTTCTACTCAAAAAATATTTTCTAATTTATTTATCTTAATTATAAAATGAGAATTTTCTTAAAAAAAAATAAAAATAAAAAATAAAAAAATAGCTTTTTATTTTAAATAATAAGTTTTATCTAAAAAAATTTACTTTTAATTTACTGTATTTACCTTAATTGTAATTTAAGAATTTTTTTTAAAAAAAACAAGAAAAAATAAAGAAAAATAATAAGTTTCTATTTAAAAATCACTTCTGATTTATCTATCTTAATTTTAAAATAAAAAAAAATAAAAAAATTGTTAAAAAATCCATATAAAAATCATCAAATGATAATAAGAATTTTCTAAAAAAGAACAAAAAAAAAAAGAATGGAAAAAACTTCTTATTAAAAAAAAGAAATAAGTAAAAAATAAAAAAAAATTTTTTAACTATTCTATTTTAATAAAACCAATAAATACTTTGTAAATTAATATATTTTTAATAGAACAAAATAAAAATTCTTTTTTATTCTTTATAAAATATCATAATTATATTGTAATCCAAATGATCTTCAAGAAATTGGAAATGTGACGCAGTAAAGTGATCTGCAAATGATCATCATGTGAATTGATCTACAAGAATCAATGACACAATAGTCGGCAAAAGGTAATCTGCGAAATTAACCAAATCGGTTAATAAAGAAATGAAGTAATAGATCATTAGCCCATGACAACATGCGTAACCTTCTAAACTAGAAACTCTTTTTATGCAATAGATAGCAATTTAGTGTAGAAATTTTATTATAAATAAGCTGAGTTTTTCATCATATATCGATAGAAATTTAGAAAGTTAATTTTATAAGATAATAAAAACTCTTTGCTAAATTGTCTCGTATCAAACAAATTGCTTAATGTTAAAAACCTGCTTTGTGTCAACCTTTGGTTAAGTAATAATTGAATTACTTAATGTTATCAAATTACTTTGTGTCAAACCTTGGTTAAGTAATTGTAAATTACTTAACGTTATCACCCTGCTTAGTATTAATCTTGGTTTAAGTAAAATTCTAAATTACTTAAACGTTATCAACCGTGTTAAAGTCATCAACAAATTAAAGTATTTGATATTTGTAAATACTTTAAGCTATACGTCACTACGTGATTACAATAATTTATTATAACGTCATCAAGGTAATTTCTTAACTTCTTAAGAAATTACGAGTCACCTGGAGTGAATTGGAAGTCTTCATACTTGCCAATTCTGAAACTTAGTCGTGAAAGAATACTGAAGTCAACAGAAACCAGAATTAACCGAAGTCTTTCCCAAAACTTAATAAAGATTGAGCTAAATCTTGCTGCTACTCAATTGATTACGTGTTTCAGTCCGCCTAATCATTAGTTGGGTAACAATATATAATAATATAGTAAAACAAATTTACAATCTTTTCATTCACAAATATTTATGAACAATTTATAGAATTGGAAAAGTCCTAAAAAATCTTAATTGATCCTGATTAATTTTAAAAAAAATTATTAGTTTTAAAGATTTTTTTTTTAAATATTATTTTATAAATAATTTTTAATTAATATTACTTATTAAAATAAAATAAAATTTCTTTTTAAAATTTAAATTAATAAAAAATTTATTTAATATAATAATTAAAAAGATAAATTTATTATTAAAGAATTTAATTAATACTATATAAATAAAATTATGTTTAAATTCATAAAGACCAATTATATCTTTTTAGGATTTTACCATCCTAATGACTTACATAGCCCTTCGAATAGATGTACTTCGTAGTGTTTTATAAATTTATATTTTCATAATATTACCATAGTCCTTTAAAATTATTTAATTATTTTATGATCAATATATTTTTAAAGTTCTCAATTGTATTATGCTATTTTTTACATTTCGTAATATTCTAAAGCCATATATTATGAATATATACGTAATGAATAGATTATGGATTAGTTTACTAAATTCATAAATTTTATATCAATTTATAATATAATATTACATAAATCTATATAATGTAAATTTTACGTAATATTATACTATAAAAAATTTTCTGATTAATAAATTGCTAGTTATTTATTAATGTTACATTTAAATTTATATTTTTATATTTATTTAAAGACAATATATATTAGAAACTAAAAATCAATTATCATTAAAATTTGATTTACTTATATTGAAGTACTTTAATATTTCTAATTTATTAGATATTAAAAATCATATCTCTTAAAATTTTGCTAAAAGTATATATCTTTTTTATTTTTCACAATAAGAAGTAAAAAATTATTTTAAATTTTATATTATTTGCATATACTGTATTAATATTAATAATATCACATCATTGATAATTTTTATTTTAAGAATCAATTTATTTCAAATCATCATAGAAAGTTTCTATTTTTGGGATTTATGAAGAAGAATTTCCTTAATAGTTAAATTTAATTTTATATAAATAAATAATAAATAAATTTAGTAATCCATTTTTAATTATAGATAAATTATTTAATTTATGAAAATGAAAGTATTGAAAAGAAAACGAATATCATAATATCTCTAATTTATCACTATTTTGAAATTTGAAAACTATAGTTTTGATGAAAAACATATTATAATTTATGTTAATAACTGCTTAGAACAAAATAAGAATAATGTCATAATTCAATATCTTGCAAAGTGAATTATAAATAAACTTCATAATCAAATAAATATTGTTTTATGATTGCTGAACATATCAAATTTTTACCAGATAGAATTTTTAGCTTAATTAAATTAAAAATATAAAAATCAGAAATACAAAATCTTGCAGATTTGATACAAGTTATTTATAATTCAACTATTAGAGAATATAACAAAGTACAAACTATATATAAAAATATAACTCAAAAGTCTTTTTTATAATTAAAGTAAATTCTTAAACAAGTCATTTAAT